AGTTTTTGAACAGTAAGATTTTTAATGTTTTATAAAGAAGTCTCTTCTGCTCACCAAGCCTGCATTTATTTGATCCAAAGTACAGCAAAAGCAGTAATGTTGTGAAATATTTTTACTATTTAAAATAACTGCATTGTATTTGAAGATATTTTAAAATGATTGCTGTGATCAAAGTTGAATTTTCAGCATCAATACTCCAGTCTTCAGTGTCACATTCTTCAGAAATCATTCTAATATGCTGATTGACTGGAGTAATGATGCAAAAATGTAGCTTTGAAATCACTATAAATTACATTTTAAAATATATTCAAATGGAAAAGTTATTTGAAATAGCCTAGTAAAAATATTTCTAAATTAGATATATTAAATACACTTTTTACAGTTTTACTGTACTTTGGATCAAATAAATGCAGGCTTGGTGAACAGAAGAGACTTTAAAAAAACATTAAAAATCTTACTGTTCAAAAACTGTTGACTGATAGTGTATAGTCAACTTAAATTTTCCTCTCATTTCTAGCTTTTATTTGGCTTAGAAATCAGATAACTGCTGGACAGTAACCAATAATAATGATTTGCTTCTATACTACAAACACTTTTTTATCACATAATAAGGCAGAATAGTTTCTATACTGTAATAAATGCTATGTCAGTTAGCACTGCATTGTTCATATACTTTATTTATTACCTGGAGATGACTTGACAAACACAGATAAACCATATATTGTCGCAATCGTATGTTTAATGTCTTCATGTTTCCAAACGTTTCAGTTTTTCTGTGAAAACAACTGTTTTCATACAGCGATAGCTGGACGCTTTTGTCCATATTAGGAATTTCCTCATACGACTTTCTGCGCGAGAGCGCCCGCCGGCTTCGAGTATGAATGAAACATACACTGCACGGAGTGTTTAGCGCTCCGCGATGTTCATCTCGCCTTATTCTGGGACCGAATAAAACATCAGATCATGCACAGACTATCCTGTCTCTTTGAATTTAAATCTATATTTATTCACACCGGCTCTTGAAAACCTCTATGCGAACACACTTGCCCGAAAAAGTGCGGGGGACGAATTTACGGGCTATTAAAAGTGGGGGGGGATGCGTCCCCTGCGTAATCTACGCCCCTGTGTATTTGCATATATAAAGATCTGAAGCACAACAATATTCAAGAATGTTGAATGCTATATATGTACAGACACACACACACAAAAATATATATACACACACATACATACATACATATATTTTTATTCAACACTCTTGAATTTTGTTGTGCTTCAGATCTTATGTTTTGTCAGCAAAGTAATTCTGCACCCACCTCACAGTGTCACTCCCTCTTTTCTTCCTCATCACTCACTAGATAATTTCAGAGTACTGCAAAGTAACCCCCCTCTTCATTCTTGGACTGTGTAGTGCAGTCTAGAACTTTCTGATCATTGCTATACCCTTTACATTTACCCAGTTACACATACTACAGTTACAAACATCCTTTCTTTCAGTTCAGCCTTTAAAAAAACTCTCTCTGCTGTTAAGTGACCATTGTCATTTAATAGGAACAGACATTCACAGATCGTTTCCACCTTTTCACCGGTGTGAAGGACGTGATGGAGGAGCAGAGCGGTTTGTGAATGGCGACATGCTGACTGGCAACTGCATGCGCAGACTTGACCTAGACTTGTTGCAAGACGGTGCAGAAATGTGAGCAAAATACAGTCAATTAGATATGAACAGCTTTAGGCAGTGGGTGCGAGAAAGTCTGCTGAAAATAAGTTTCGTAATGAAGACCCATATTGTAGAAAGCATGGTGTATTTTTATTTGTTTTGTTAATAAAAGTTCTATGTTTCATATATACGCTAAAGTGAGTTTGACGTTGTATTTTGTGTTTGCATTCAAGCAATTGACGCCGAACAGCCGCTGATTCAAAAGTGAAAGTAAAATGCACATGGCACTTTTAAGCTATTTAAAAGTGAAGGAAAGTGAGGAAAAGAGGGAAAATTCAAACTAACTAAAAACGAACAATTGCTTTACTCTGAATTGCCGCTATTTGAAAGTGAAAGTAAAATGGGCACACTGCTTTTACAAGCTATTTAAAAGTGAAGGAAAGTGAGGAAAAGAGGGATCACGCCCCGCGGTGATACCGGTATTACTGGTGTTGTCACGCGTCGATTAACCGGTGGGAAAATTTCCTCACCGTCACAACCCTAGTGTACAGCGCTTTGTTTTGTTTACTTCAACACATATGTGACTAAACAAAATAGATGACTTGCCTTCTAAATTCAGATTTTTTTAAGGTTAGGGTACAAGATGATACCTTTATCGACACCAGAGTCAGTTTCGGTTGGGGGATCGTCCGGGTTTTTCAAGAGCACCTTTGATAGACTGAGACAGTAGGCAAGTTTCCAAACTTTGGCGATATTTTATAAATGTCGATAAAAAAGTATTGCGAAATAACGGTGTTTCCGTTAACCTAAACATTAATTAATTAATGTTATGCGACTAAAACGTAACCTTTTGCCTCTCGCGATAAGTCATAGCAACGGATTTTGGTGGGATTTTGGCTATTGCTCTGGCTCCCACCGGCGCTGGAATTAGTGAGCTCAGGCGTCCCGTCTCCAACACAAACCAATGCTGTTCTCTGGAATGTTCCGCTCCAGTAGTAGGCAGCGGTAATGAGCTGGGCCTGCTGTACGCTCTCCCCATGTTCCACTCCAATGATCAGAGGGAGAGAAAAACACACTGGGGTTCATTAATTAGGGTACTAACTTATCTTTCCACTTCACTTGGTCTATTTCTTTTTATTCCGTGCACTCTCTCTGTCGTCTGTCTGCAGCTCCTTCCTTTTTCCCTCTCAAAGTGAACACTGTGGAAAGAATTTAAATATGACCAGCTGAATGTTTGTTCTGCTGTTTGTTTAACTTAGAAATAGTTCACGTAAACACAATTCTTTTCAAAAAAATATTTAAACATTTACATCAGCGTAGTCTCAGCCAAGTCATTCGATCGTAAACTAATCCTTCTACCTTGTATTTTTTCCCTTTCCATATTAATTAAATGTGTTAACAGCTAAAACTAGTTTAGTATTTCCAGTCAAGTTAACTTGACCTGTTGAATCATAAGACTAGACTTAAAAAAAAAAAAAAAAAAAAAAAAAAAAAAAAATTTTTGTCTCAGCCAAGTCATTCGATCGTAAACTAATCCTTCTACCTTGTATTTTTTCCCTTTCCATATTAATTAAATGTGTTAACAGCTAAAACTAGTTTAGTATTTCCAGTCAAGTTAACTTGACCTGTTGAATCATAAGACTAGACTTAAAAAAAAAAAAAAAAAAAAAAAAAGAACACAGATTTTCTAATGCTTGCGCTTTTTATTAGTAAAGTATTGGAGGGTATAATAAATGATGGGATGAAGACAGAGAACAAGAAATGTCTCAGATTCAATCGTGTTTCCCACATGAACTCACAGCTTTTATATATATATATAGAGAGAGAGCATGTGCATTACTATAGCTCTGACAAAGACTATTTTTTTTTTTTAAGTAACCAGCAAACTAAGATTTTGCTAACATGTTTTCTGAAGTTTTAATGATATTATCTGTCAGCTGTTGTCTGTGTCTAGTTCCTCTTAGCTCACCTGCCCTGTGGGG